GCCAAAGCCAGATGCTTAACTGACTGAGCCCCCCTTCAACTATATTGAACTTCTATATTATTCAGTAAAGAACTATTCTTTATTTTGAGTCTTGAGTACTGATTCAATCTCCTTCATCATTATCTACATGTACATATCATTTTATTTGTCCCTGGGTTAGTCTTAATAGTTGTATGTTTCCAGGAATTTTGCTATTTCTTCTAGAAATTCCAATCTTCGGGCATATAAAATCCTTGGTATTTTTGTTTATCACTTGTTTCCAATTTATTTATTTACATATGCCTTATCTTTTTCCCTCAGTCTCACTTAAGATTTGTCAATTTTGTATACCTTTTTTTCAAAAGTAGCTCTTAGTTTATCAATAATTTCTATTGTTTTTATTGACTTTAATTCATTTCTTTCTGTTCTGATGTTGATTGCCTTCCTTTTTCTTGCTTGATTTTGGATTAGTACTATTTTTTTCTTTTTCTATTTCTTTGAGGTGTAAAGAAAGGATTTTTGGATACTTATTTTTTCTTAATATAAGGATTTATCATTCTACACTTCTGTCCTTGAATGGGTTCTTCTGCAACACATACATTTTGGTATGTTGTGTGTTATGTTTATTGAAGACATTTTTCATTTCCCTTTTAAGTTCCTGTTGGCCCATTGGTTGTTTAGGAGCATGTTGTTTAATATCCACATATCTGTGAATTTTCTTTTCAAAAACCTTCCTCTTGGTTTCATTGGTTACTTTGAATGTAAGCAGGTTAATGCTTCAATCATAGACACAGGATAAGAGAATGGATAAAAAACAAGACATCTATACACTGCCTAGAAGAGACTCATTTTATACTAAATACAGATAGAGATTGAAAGTGAGAAATGGAGGGGCGCCTGGGTGGCTCAGTCGGTTAAGCAGCCCACTTTGGCTCAGGTCATGATCTCACAGTTCATGGGTTTGAGCCCCACTTCGGACTCTGTGCTGACAGCTAGCTCAGAGCTTGGAAGCTGCTTCAGATTCTGTATCTCCCTCTCTCTGACCCTCCCCTGCTCACACTGTCTCTCTCTCTCTCAAAAAAAAAAAAAAAAAAACATTAAAAAAAAAAAAGAAAGTGAGAAATGGAGAGGCACCTGAGTGGCTCAGTCAGTTAAGCATCTAACTCTTGAATTTGGCTCAGGTCACGATCTCACGGTTTATGACCTCGAACCCTGCATTGGGCTTTGTGCTGACAGAGCAGAGCTTGCTTGGGATTCTCTCTCTCTCTCCCTTTCTCTTTGCCCTTTCCCCTCTAATGCTATCTCTCTCACACAAAATAAATAAATAAACATGTAAATAATTATTTAAAAAATGAAATTAACTCAGAAAGAGAAAGACACATATTATGTAATTTTACTTATATGTGGAATCTGAACAAGCACACAAACAGCAACAAAACAGACTGAAATATAGAGCACAAACTTGCAGAGGAGAGGTGGATGGGAGGCAAGGTAAAATAAATAAAGGAAATAAAAAAGGTACAAACTTGCATATATAAAGTACATAAGTCACAGAGATGAATAGTACAACAGAGAGAATATAGTCAATAATATTGTAACAGTGTTGTATGGTGACAGATGGTGACTACAGTTAATGTGGTGAGCTTCAAATAATGTGTAATTGTTGAATCAAAATGTTGTGCACCTGAAACTAATAAAACATTTTATGTTAATTATTCTTCAATCAAAAAAACATGGTGTGTGTGTGGGACAAATTTCATGTTGGAGGAGAGAGTTGCTACTTGTAGGGCATCACCAGAATTTACTTGTAGGGCATCTTCTTTTTTATTTTTTTTTTTAAATTTTTTTTTTAATGTTTTATTTATTTCTAGGAAAGAGAGAGAGAGACAGCGTGAGCAGGGGAGGGTCAGAGAGAGAGGGAGACACAGACTGAAACAGGCTCCAGGCTCTGAGCTGGCAGTCAGCACAGAGCCTGACGCGGGGCTCGAACCCACGAACCGCGAGATCATGACCCAAGTGAAAGTTGGACGCTTAACCGACTAAGCCACCCAGGCGCCCCTACATAAAAATATTTTAAACAGGAGGAGCTTTGAGTGTACTCCTCTGGAACAATTACCAAGTAGCAAATGGAGAACCCAGGGTGCAGGACATTGTATAGGAAATGTTCCCATTTTTGGGAAAAGGAGAAAACATATTGTTCAAATTGGCTCATACATTCATAACATGGACCTGTGAGGATGGCATGGACCCTTCCTGTACAGACACTTGAAATAGCCAATCTGTATGGAGGGACATATTATTGTATACATTTTATCCTTCTAGAGTTATAAACTATATAGCAGATTTATTTTCAAACAATAAGTGAAACAAATAAAAATTAAAGCCAGAATAAGACTGTCAAGGAGACAGGGCTACACCCTATTCAGTTTCTACTCCAACTGGGTATATTACCTTTTAGTTCCTGTACTAACTACCCAGAGTTAGCAGACCCCCCAGGGCTCTGTCCTTAGGAAGACTAACGTCACTTCAGACACCAGCTGTACTTGGGCAGATTCCCTAAATCACCTGACTACAGATTTGAAGTTTCCTATAATCCTCTCAGACTTGATGTTTATTTAAAATAATTCACAGAAGTAAGGAAAGCTTTATACTTACAAATATAGTTTTATTTAAAAGGATACACATAGGGTGAGTTCTGGGAGGGTGTACATAGCTTTCATGCCTCTCCTGCTGGAGGCCGAGCCGGCTCCAGCAGGTCCAGGGGTCCCTGAAGGATGGACGGTGTTGGCGAGAGAGAGAGTGAGAGAGCCCCGAGATTCTGATCACCAAGCAGGCATCTCTGTCCTCTCGGTTTTGGCGTCTTTATTTATAGGTTAAATGATAACATGACATCAGAAAAAGGAACTTTTACAATGGATAACTCTTTGTGATAAGATGCTTTGTAAAGTGTACAGAAGCAGGTTTTACAGAAATATTCTTGCAGAACTATTCCAATTATAGTGAGGTTAAGTAAATCTTACAATTAAAGAATTAGCAGGGTATTCTTAGTAAAAGACAGGATACATATTTGTTCTAAGTTAATAACGCTAAAGTTAGGTCATAGGTTAAATGTATAAGTGGGCTAAGAGTCATTCTGTCTAGCTCTCAAATGAATATTTTTGAGTTGGTTAATAAGTTGTTTCTGGAAACCTATTTGATGCTGAATGTGTGAACACCATGGAGGCCCTAAATGTGTCAGCCTCTTGTTTGTGGGTAATGTTTTAGCTACTCTTATCTATCCTCATCCTAGCCACCTGTGAGGGAGGGTGTTTGCAGAAAGTAGGCCTTGGGGAAGGGACTGCCATACATCACCAATTAGGAGAAGGTGTAAGTATTAAGTTCTGACCTTATCTGTACCTTAACTCTAAATTAGGCTCTTTGTCTCGGGGCCAGGCTCAATTGTAATTCTTGTGTTCTTTTTTTTTTTTTAATGTTTTATTTATTTCTAGGAGAGAGAGAGACAGCATGAGCAGGGGAGGGTCAGAGAGAGAGGGAGTCACAGACTGAAACAGGCTCCAGGCTCTGAGCTGGCAGTCAGCACAGCCCGACGCAGGGCCCGAACTCACGAACCACGAGATCATGACCTAAGCGAAAGTCAGACGCTTAACCGACTAAGCCACCCAGGCGCCCCGTAATTCTTGTGTTCTTAACCCCCTAAGTCTTGGATCTGCAAGGCCCGTAGGAGGAGCCCTTTGACAATCATCCATAGAGCTTTCATCTAAAATCTCTCTTGCAAAGGCAGGAATATGCTTTTCTTTATGAGGTATCTGTGTTCAGAATATTGGTCTGATATGGAATATTGTGAGGCCTGGTCAATACCAGCACAACATGAGCCAGTAGTAGCGGGAGATACCAGTTTTCATTTCTCATGGCAGGAGCTATGCAATCACTGCCATTTCCTTGCTGTGACTGCCATCCAGAGAGGCCGGTGCAGCTCCCGGCACTCTCCCCAAGGAATTAGGGCACATCACCATCCCAGAACTGTAATTAAGAAGCCCACTTGAGCATTGGTGTCCAGGGTTTTGATTGAGGTTTCATAATACGGACATGAATGATCAAATCATTGGCCACTTTTGTCACATTGATTGAACTCAATCTCCACCCCAGAGGTCCAGCTGGCCCAAAGTCCCCACTTTCTATTCACTTGGTTGGCCTTTCTGGTGACCAGACACTGAATTGAAGCTATCTAGGAACCTGCCAGGAGATATCATAATAATTAGCATAACAAAGTCAACTTCTATCACTCAGGGAATTCGCTGGTTTTTGAAACTCTGTGCCAAGAACCAGGGATAAAGACCAGATATAGTCTTTTTTAAAAATGTTTATTCATTTTGAGAGAAAGAGAGACCCACACACAGAGCATGAGTGGAGAAGGGGCAGAGAGAGAGGGAGACACAGAATCTGAAGCAGGCTCCAGGCTCTGAGCTGTCAGCATAGAGCCTGATGCGAGTCTCAAACTTACAAACCATGAGACCATGACCTGAGCTGATGTTGGATGCTTAACTGACTGAACCACCCAGGTGCCACTAGATGTAGTCTTTATTGGTCTTCAATACTCTAGAGTTTGGGCTGTCCATGGTTAAGAGGGGCCATGAGTATCATGTTCCCAGGACTCAGCTTGTATTCTGTGACTCTGAATTCAGATTCTGTCTGGCCTGGTGCCTGGGGTCTGGTTAGGGTGGCTTGCTGGGGTCACTGAGAAGCCTCCTGCCTGGGGTCATGTACTCTCCTTTCATTTGTCAGACCAAAAAATACACAAACCTGGTGGCCATGTTGTCTTCAATTTCACTTCCTAGCAATGGCTGTGTTTCTCAGAAGAGGAGCCTTCAGAATTTGATTTCACTTTCTGTTCCTGGAAATTCAGGGCTAATATGATGCTGCTTCTTTACTATTGGCCAGGTTCATGAGAGGGTGGAACAGAGACCAGGGACTATTTCAGTCCTGACAGCAACTCACACACAGTTCAGACCTTTTGGGGGACAGTCAGCTCTTTAATTTCTGCAGTGATTACACCAGCACACAGGTCCTCTTCCAGTGCAAGCCCAGTCTGTGCACAAGTGTTTCTGCTGTGGCCCGCAGGGAGCACTTCAACAGGACTCAACATTTCCTGCGCTGCCAGTGGACACATTCAGAGCTCAACACTGACACCAGGAGTTTCTTTTCTTTCAGAAGCTGGTAAGCAAGAAATCACTTTGCATTGAGAACAGACCTAAAAATAAAATTATAGACCTGTAGGACTAAGTGTGGGAGAGCCTGGATGCTCAGTTTTGGGTGCTGTGGACTTGAAAGTCTGAGGAGCAGGATGTCTGATGGATGACTATAAGCCATTGAGATAATTTAACTATTTGGACATATTCAGAGGGTGTTTGGAGAACAAACTTTATTCCTGTGAACTGCAGAAGGATTGTATGAATGTCAGGCATGTCAGTATAGATAGGGGCTTTCCCCAAGAGCTTCTGCCATCAGATACCCCTCATCTCATGCTAAATACCTTTTACTGGGTGAGAATGCATACTATCTGTCCGAAAAAACTATTCATTTTTTTTTTTTTCTGATGGTCCAGTCTCAGGGAGATTATTTACTTGATGGTCAGCATCTGTGAACATGCATTTAAACTTTTGAGAGGATTCAATGTATCAAGCATGTTATTTTTTTATAAGCAGCATAATTTTCAATGGTTAGAGTGCACTTTGAAGCCATGGTTCTCAAGACCCAAATAATCAAGCCACGGGATACTCTTGAATGCTGAGAACAAATTGAGGACTGATCGGAGGGAGGGGGGGGGTGTGAGAGGAGAGATGGGCATGGAGGAGGGCACTTGTGGGGATGAGCACTGGGTGTTATATGGAAACCAACTTGACAATAAACTATTTGTAAAAAAATAAAAATAAAAAATAAACATCTCCTACAGTGAAAAAAAAAAAGACCCAAATAATCAAAATCAAAGAAGTCAAAGAAAGACCCCACTGTAGGAGTCATCTTTTGAAGCCAAGTGGCTTGCTCAGTGACCTTATGTAGTTGTGTCTCAACTTCCCCAGAAGTGTTAATCCATATGCCCCATGTATGGACCCCTGGGTGGCTCAGTCAGTTAAGCATCTGGCTCTTGAATTGCCTTGAGGTCATGATCTCATAGTTCATGGCATAAGCCCTCATCTGGCTCTACATTGGCAGCTCTCTCTCTCTCAAAATAAATACATAAACATTAAAAAAATGATGAACATCATAGTATAGACAGCTGTTGCTCAGCTAAAAGATAATCAGAGGCTATTTATTGTCAATAAAATCTTTGGCCAGAGAGTCTAAGGATCTTTGTTGGGAACCTATTGTCTTAGCAATGAATTCTGCAATATCTTTAAGAGTTAAGGAAAGGTTTTGATCAAATTGTCATGTATGTGACTTAACTAGGGAAGTTTGGAACTGGCAAAGATAACAAATCCTGAGTCATGAATGTCTGCTGGTTGGTCTTTTCTAACTCAATAATCCAAGGGAGTTGAGCAATAGATATCTCACTTTTCTCTTAGACTAAAATAAAAGTCTATTTTACATTCTGGAGGTTAACCCCTTGTGAGCAAAGGGATCAGACATACAATTGAAGGCATTATATTTCCAGGATTATGACAGAGTAAAGGAAAGGAAAAGGAGAATATTTTTCACATTTAAAGTATGAACACTTGACCTGTTGTCTTGGGTGAAAGCAGTGTACCGTGATGTTAGATGTCACTACCTTGATGTTACTTATCTTCCTCATCAATTTGCTTTAGAGGTCTCTAGCATCTGTCCAGAACCAGGTGTCAAGGAAATCCTTCTTTAGTTGTGAGATGTGTACCCAAGACTCAGCACATTTTACTTTTGTAGCAATGTCAGTGGTTGGGAACATTTGGTGTGATCTCTTTCAATGGGGTTCAAAAGCTGTATTCTTCTGATGACATTTCCAGAATACCCAGTAACCATGATCTAGAATATAACCAACAGAATACTTTGAATTGGGATCTGGGAAGGCTTCTTTAACTTATTGATGTTAGTCTTGAGTGTAAAAATATTAGAGACTTTGCCATAGTTGATCATACTAGCATGAGACAACAAGAGATCAGCAGAAAGTTTCATTCCAGTAGATTGGTCTGTCAGTGCCTAATAGGGTACTGCAAACAGTCAGCAAGTCCAAAGGCAATAAATTAGGCTAGAGAAGTCCAGTAGGTTTGGCTATTTTAAGTTTTAAGTTTGAGGATCCCATTAGATCTCTCAACCTTGCCTGATGATTAAGGGTGATGGGTCCAGTGATCATTTCAAGAAGTTTGCAAGGTTTTTGTTGAGGTTGGTATGATTTGTCCAATGAAATTGCTGCCTCAATCACTGAAAATTGTGGAAGGTATATTCCAAGTAGAAAATACATTTTATAACAGTTTCTATGCCAGTGTGAGGGTATTAGCATTGCTGCAGGGGAAAGTTTGAACCAAACTGAAAAACATACATACAATAACAAGAACATATTAATGTTCCATACTAGGTGGCACTTAAATAAAACCAGCTACAGGTGTTAAAATCCAGAAGGAATAGGTATGATATCTCTGAGGGCAAAATTTATTTTTCCCATGATTCTAGACCTGACAGTCAGACATTGCTGGCAGACTGTTTAGACAATTTTATAGAAGTCTCTCCATTAATGTCTAGTCATAGTTTGACTTATTTTAAATGCACTATGATGAGTGAAGTAATGAAAAAACAAAAACAATGGAGTCCCTGGTAAAATCCCAGGAAACCAAATTATAATTTTGCACCCCTGGTAAACTCCCAGGGACTCAGGAAAAATCAAGTAGCTATCCTGTGCTTCCCAAAGCCCTGACTGTTCAATGTACAGCCATTTGTTTACCCATCTTCTCTGATTCATAAGGAGAGTGTTGCCATGTTACCTGACATCAGAATGGCAAAAATCTCACAATGAGGGGAATTTTTTGAGCAACAGAATGGATATTATCCACATATGCCACAACCTTTATAGATTCTGTTGTTGGATGCCTTTACATAAAAGTTGGATGGGGCATTTTCCTGATACTCTTCTTCAGTCCTTTTAGTGTGAACCTCTGTTTTGATGACAGCAATTTCAGAAGATAAGAGAGTAATTACAAGTGATAACATTAAACTAGGATACATCAAATTTCCAAGAATTTCACATAATTTATAGAACATTTATATACCTATACAAATACAACATAAAATACAAGATCCTTGTTTTCTATGACGATCTCTTAAATGTTACAGAATCTTTCATAATGTATTACCAAAACTAGATCAAATGTTCAAAAAGCAAAAGCTTTGTTTTTTTTTAACAGATAGGAAACCAAATTATAATTTTGCATCAGCTTACTTTTGTATTAGAATGTATTCATTCCAATATTAGTTCTGACGATGCACAAAATTATTTTCCAAAGATTCATTATTCAGTGTTTCTACAACTTCTTTTGCCTTTTTTAAAAAGTACATCTCTAGTCCACATATTTTTTTTTTGCCAAAAGCACATTTCCTACTTTTCTTTCATTCAGAGATGTTTCCATTTTTCTTAAAAAGAAAAGCTTTAACCACATACGTTAATTACAGTTCTGAACCCTTAGAAACTTTCTAGGAAAAGCAACTAGTAAGTACTTGTTAACTATGTTTATATCAGTATTTTTTAGATTGCAAAATTATGAATACATTTCATAATTTCTGGAAATGTGTTTTTTTATAGTACAATCTTTCATTAAGGCATACCAAAAGATTTAAATGAACCTACATTTTTTCTTAAGTTTTCCTGTAATAAAGAAGTCAAAGTAAAGGAAACCAATGTTTAGCAATTAATGTTTCATTATTTTATCTTACTTGGAAATGATCTTGATATTTAATGAATTTAACAAATTATTACTTAATTTAATTTATCAAAACTTTAAGGTTGTAATTAAACAAAAATATTTTTCAAACTCTATAAAATTTTGCCTAAAATATTGATAAAATTTATGTAAACATCTATTCAATATTAGATCTGTTCTTAACAATTAGCCTTAGATTACTCACAAAATAAGTAGACACCATGAGAAGTCAGTCATTTATTCTCCCAAACTATTTTTATTTTGTTATTTTAATTTTTAAAAAATTTAATTCCAGTATAGTTAACATAGAATATTGTATTAGTTTCAAGCATGCAATATAGTGATTCAACACTTTCATACAGCACCTGGTGCTCATCACAAGAAGTTCACTCCTTAGTACCCATCCACTAACCCACCTCCTCTCTGGTAACTATCAGTTTATTCTCTATAGTATAGTATAGTCTGTTAGTTTATGTCTCTCTCCTTTTTTTTCTTTGTTCATTTGTTTTGTTTATTAAATTCCACATATGATTTAAATCACATGGTTTTTGTGTTTCTCTGACTGGCTTGGCATTATACTTTCTTGCCCCATTGATGCCTTTACAAAACGCAAGATTTCATTCTTTTTTATGGTCAAATAACATTCCATTATATATATCTTGATATATGACTATATCTTCTTTATCCATCTATTTACCAATGGACTTTTAGTCAGTTTCCGTAATTTGGCTTTTTTTTTTTTTAATATTTTTTTATTTATTTCTAGAAGAGAGAGAAAGAGAGACGGCGTGAGCAGGTGAGGGTCAGAGAGAGAGGGAGACACAGACTCCGAAATTAGCTCCAGGCTCCGAGCTGGCAGTCAGCACAGAGCCCGATGCGGGGCTCGAACCCATGAACCGCGAGATCATGACCTAAACGAAAGTCAGACGCTTAACCGACTAAGCCACCCAGGCGCCCCCGTAATTTAGCTTTTAAAAGTAATGTTACAAAAACACAGGGGTGCATGTATCTCTTTGAATTAATGTTTCTGTATTTGTTGGGTAATACCCAGTAGTGCAATTACGAGATTGTAGGATAATTCTACTTTTAACTTTTTGAGAATTTTCCATATTGTTTTCCACTGTGCCTGGGCCAGTTTGCATTCCTATCAAGAGCACACCAGGGTTCCTTTTCGTACACATCCTCTCCCCAATTTTTTCCCTTGCATTTTTAATTTTAGCCTTTCTGACATGCATGGCATAGTATTTCATTGTGGTTTTGATCTTCATTTCTCAGATGATGAGTGATATTGAGCATCTTTTCATATCTCTGTAGGACATCTGGGTTTCTTCTTTT